GCGGTGGTGGTGGTGTTTTGACTGCCCAGGTTTGAATCCTGGTTTCTACACTCAGTGTCTCAGTTTCTTCAGCTCTAAAATGGGGGCAATAAGAGAACCTATTTGGTATGTACTGGTGTTTCATAGAACAAGAAATGTAGAGGGAAGGCGCTTTCAGGGTTAACTCAGCAGTTAACACTCCCACTGGGAAACCTGCCTTTCTACTTTCTCTTCTTTTCTCTGCCATACTTAGCAGTTTGGTTTGGGTGCGTAGGCTTCTTCTAATGGTTGCAAGATGACGGCTTCAGTTACTGGCATGACATGGCCACTTCCCCCTGTGTGCTTCTCTTGACAAGTAAAGGAAGTCTTTCCCAGAAATTCCCAATACATTACCACTTATTTCTCCTCATTTACAGCTTCTCAAGGAAGACTCTGCCTACCTGGAATCAGCGGCTGACAAAGGAGATGATAGACAGTGACTGGTCATGATTGTTCCTCTGGGCTGGGGATGGAATAGACTTCTCTGAGCTCTTGGTAAGAGGGTGGTAAACACAGTAAAAAATATTGGGGCTCAGACAGCAAGAAAGAAGGAGAAGCGATTGCTTTGGGACTGGCAGCTGAGTATCTGCCTTACTTCCTCTGTATTTTTCCAAGAATTGAATAAAAAGACCCAGAAAAAATTACTTAGCAAAGTACCTGACAAATGATACGTCCACAATAGAAGTTAGTGGTTATTGTTATTTTTATTCATTTTGGTATTTAATATTATTTCATTTAAGTGCACTTTTTTCTCTGATGTGGGCAGAATCACCTTTCCCTTCATATGGCTGATTTTATCTTATAGTGTAGTAACTTTGATGTTCTCTCAAAGGTGAAAATAGGAGTTCATCTGTTTCCCAACATATGTAGAATGGCAATGGTTTTTTCCTTCAAGGCACATATTCTTCAGGATGTGTACTCTGTTGGCTCAGAAAGTCCAAGCATTATAGCCATCTGCTACTTATTAGCTGGGTAACCTTGGCTAAGTTAGTTACTCTGTGTCTTTGTTCCCTCATCTTTAAAAGGGATATGATCTTGGGACTTACCTCAGAGGTTCTTATCAACACTGAGTGAGTTAATTCATTTAAAGCAGCACTGAAAGAGTGCTTAGAATATAGTAAGCATTCAGTAAGTGCTAGCTATCTGAAAGCCAGGCATCCAAGGACTAGGACCTAGATTTTTCAGCCTGTCGTCTGGAATCAACTTGAGCTATAATGTCATTGTTGGCTTAGATTAATGCTCAATGCCAGGCAGATTTTGGACTAACCACACTGTATCCCAATGGATTTCGGGTGAAAGTGCACAGGAAAGAGAGAAGGGGTGTACCAAGCCTATTTCCTTTGATAGTGAGTTGATGGGAGTATAAACACGGCTGTTTTCATTGTAAGTGCTTTTGGCGGCAAACAACAGAACAGTTGTCTACCAGGTCTGGAGAAAGAGATTTCTTTTTCTCACTTGGCGGAATGGTGGAGCTGCCTACTGATGGAAGAGGTGCTTCCCAGTCTTCAGAGGGTGACTGCAGCTCTAGGAACATGTGCACATTTGAAGTGGGAAGAAGGGGAAGGGGGCAGCACAAGAAACACCTGTCTTTTTTTTTTTTTTTGAAACCCCTGTCTTTTATATCATTCCTGATAGCACTTTCCTTGAATCTCCCAGCAGAATTCTTCTTAGGTCCTATTGGGCAAAAAGACCTGACATGTCCATGCAAGCTTCAAGAGAAGCTGGGAGAGTGAGTATGCAGTATTTCCAGCCTCTTAGTTAGAGGCAGAACAAGGGAGAAGGGAGTCAGAAAAGAGTTGGAGATGGAAATTGGGATAGCCGACCTGCGTTGTCTGCCATGACAGTTTTAAACATAAGAGCATAAAATCAACACTTTGTATTTTCACAAAGGCCAAGGCTGAGAAAGCAAAAGGCAAACAGAACTGGATGAAGATAGCCCTGCTCTCTAACATTGGCCCATCAGCTGCTGGTGAAGGATTTAGCTTCTCTCCTAATGTGTACAGTTGTTTTAAGGGGGAAAAAAAAGTAATCGCCATTTGGTTTTACCATGCTGAGTTTTCCAGAGTCTCTTTGTCTTTCCATAATTTACTATGCAAACAGAAGGATGTGAGGCCTGCCATTTGGCAGGTGGGAGAAAAGCCGTAAGTTACCTTCTGTTTTAAATATAAAATAATCTTCTTTGAGTCCTGCCCTGGGGTGCTGGGGAGTCTGAACCCTTCCTACATGCACCAAACTGGACTCACAAGGTTTTCCTAGAAGTAGTCCATTTCCCATCTCCGGTATTTATAACCCTCTCTTAGAGAAGAAAACGGACTGTAGTAGGAAGTCATATTAAGATAGAAGGGGGATTTAGGCCCCCTCAGTAGTAAAAGGTAAAGACATAATTTAAATTCATTTAGTTGAAAAGATAAATGCAGATAAAAGCCCAGTAAACAGGAGCCAAATGCCCTGGCTCAGGAATCAGGCAGCGGACTTGGCAGTCATCCACTGGAGCCATTCACCTTGGCTGAAGGCTGGCTTCTGAGCAGCTGCGTGTGCCTAGTGAGGGGCTCTGCCCCGCTGCTGTGTGTGTAGGGCAGTGGAGAGACTGCGGGGGAGGTAGGGACTGGCAGAAGGGGCTTCAAGAAGGAGAGGAAACTGATGAGCAGGAAGTGAGCCCGGAAGGTGTTAAGAGCTACACAGTCAAAACTAGCCTTCGGCCGCGGTGCTCAGAAAACTTTTCAAATATGCCCTTTGCTTTTAGAAAAAAACAACAGAATTCCTTTGTCTTTCTTAGTAGTGAAACATCATGTTTAACTAGAAAATATCTTTATTTGGAAATCACTGAGGGATGCTATGGACACTGCCTGGGCAGTCTGTGGCATTTTGCTAGAGCAGTGTCATACTTTCTGTGCTTCAGATCACTTCACTACACATTGCTCGAATGTATGTTGTGAGCCAGGTACTATGTTAGTTTCTGAGTTTAATAAGATGAAAAAGACAAGGTACAGCCCCAGAGGGGCTTACACTATAACTGGGCCAGTGTTGTCCTCCAGGGGATATTTGACAATACCTGGAGACATTTTTGGTTGTCAAAACTTGGAGAGATGCTATTGGAATCTTGGGGGGCAGAAGCCAGGGATGCTACTAAGCATTTGCCAATATGTAGTACAGCCAAGCACAACCGAGACTTAACTGGTCCAAAATATCCATAGTGCTGAGGTTGAGAAACTGCACTATAATAAAGATACATGGGGGAAAAATAAAAATTAGAATTAGTACAATTGTAGAAGAATGTACAAAATGAAGAAGTGTTTTAAAGATAGGACTTGTAAATTCTATCCAAAGGAATCTGCGAATGATAGGAAAATGGTATCAGAGCTTTAGTGAGTTTTGAAGAAGCTTAGCAGTTCACCAGAGTTGGGGGTGGAGGGACTTCCTTAAGGGATTACATAAAGAAGGCAAGATAAGGCTGCAAGCAGAAGCATATCTGAAAGTAGAAAGCTTTCGAACTGTACTATGTGAGAGGTGGGAAGTGCTGGGAAATGATTCTAGAGGGGTAGACAAGATCCAATTATTACCGGCCCAGGAAGACAGTCTAAAAACTTGAACTCAGTTCTGTAATTGCTGGAGAACAATTGAAGAGCAGCCAGCAAATAAGTGCTATGCCACAAATTTTAAGTGAGGTAAGTAACTATTACTCTGAAATAACTGAAAACTATTAAAAGTGGCCCAATTACCTGAGCCATTAGCGTTCTACCAATTCTCACTCCTTCTCTCCCTTTGTCTCTTTCTGTCTCTCTTTCACACACATCTTTGTTGGTATATCCCAAGAACCATCTGTATCCTCATATTCTGCCTTTGTGGAAGACAGCCTGTCAGTGATCAATGAAGAGGTCTGTGCCAGGTGGGAGAGGAAAGCCAGGGAGGGTCTCATCATCTGGACAATGTGGAGGCACAAAGAGCTGAGAGATCTTTATGAAGCCAAGAGAAGAGAGACAATTTGGGCAGGAAAGAGACCCCGAGAAAAATGAAGGCTAAGAGGTTATGGCATATTGGGATTTAAGGGTTTGTGTGTAGAGCAGATCGAGGTCAGACAAGGCACCTAAGGCTCAGTGAGTGAAGTGGAAGGCAGTGGCCACTGGGTCTGAAGCCGGCAATCAGTAGCAGTGAGTTCTTGGGTTAAGGACTTTGGGGACTCACACGTGTGGCGCTCAAAGATGGCTGAGATGAGGACAGGACTTGGGGTAGAGATGAAGAGTTTGAAGCAGGTGTCAAATTTATATATGAATGTGATGGAATGGTTGGGAAATAATAGTGATGGGAGGTGGGTAGAGGATATCCAATGGCTTCATCTGCAGAGTGAGAAGGAGTTTTACAATATATGAGGGCAACTATCCCTGGGACTAGCAACCAGGAGCCAGAGAATGCCAGCACTGTACTGGATGAGTAGTACTTGAGAGAGCCACATGTAAAGCACCATCCTCAAGAGAGTGCCGGAAGTGGAGAGATTGTTTGGGGAGGAAAATAACGATGTCAGGAAGCTTATTGAACATGAAATGGGGGTTCCAGGGGTAACAGCTAAAATTCTTTATGAGAATGGCAGCAATAGATGGGGTGTATTAGTTTGCTAGGGCTGGATAACCAAATACTACAAACTGGGGGGCTTAAACAACCGAAATGTATTGTCTCATGGTTCTGGAGGCTGGAAGTCCAAAATCAAGGTGTCAGTAGGATTGGTTCCTTCTGGGGGCTGTGAGGAAGAATCTGTGCCATGCCTCTCCCCCAGCTTCAGGTGTTTGCTGGCAATCCTTGCTGTTACTTGGCTTGTAGACATATCTCCCTAATCTCTTCTTACTTTCACATGCTGTTCACTCCATGTCTCTTGTCTGTTCACAAGGTTTTTTGTTTTTTGTTTTTTAAATAAAGACACCAGTCATATTGAATTAGGGCCCACTCTACTTTCTCATTTCAACTAAGTACATTAGCAGCAACTCTATTTCTTTTTTTTTTTTTTCTCATTAAACTTTTGTTTTAATGGGTCTCAAAATTCTGTGACAGATTTTTGGTCAAGTTGTTTCCATTAAAAAGTACTGATTTTAAAAACTAATAACTTAAAACTGCCACACACACACACACAAAAAACATGGTCCACAAAACATTCTCCTTTCCTTCTGAAGGTTTTACGATGCATTGTTATCATTAACCAGTCTTTTACTATTAAACTTAAATGGCCAATTGACACAAACAGTTCTGAGACCGTTCTTCCACCACTGATTAAGACTGGGGTGGCAGGTATTGGGGATAATATTCATTTAGCCTTCTGAGCTTTCTGGGCAGACTTGGTGACCTTGCCAGCTCCAGCTGCCTTCTTGTCCACTGCTTTGATGACACCCACAGCAACCGTCTGTCTCATGTCACGAACAGCAAAACGGCCCAGAGGAGGATAGTCAGAGAAGCTCTCAACACACATAGGCTTGCCAGGAACCATATCAACAATGGCAGCATCACCAGATTTCAAGAACTTGGGACCATCTTCCAGCTTTTTTCCAGCTCGATGATCTATTTTCTCCTTCAGCTCAGCAAACTTGCAAGCAATGTGAGCCATGTGACAATCCAGCACAGGTGCATATCCAGCACTGATTTGGCCTGGATGGTTCAGGATAATCACCTGAGCCGTGAAGCCAGCTGCTTCCATTGGTGGGTCATTTTGCAGCAACTCTATTTCTAAACAAGGCCATATATAAGGTACTGGGGTTAGGACTGAAACATACCTTTTATTTTTTTGTGGGCGGGGTCACCATTCAACCCACAGCATGGGGGTAAAAAAAAAAGGTAGAAAAGACTAAGGGACAGGAAAGAGCATAAGAGAGACATTCACTTTAGCCACAGATCAAGAATGACAGTAGTGTGAGAGTCAGAGAAATAAGTTGGTCATAAGTTTCCAAATGTATCTCTGGTGGCACAGTGAGGTACAGCTGGGATGGACCGGTGCCTACCCCAAGGCATTTAGGCTGGGCACTGTCCAACTCTAAGGGGGTATACCAGTTACATAAATAGTCACATCATTTACAGTGTGATTTGCCTTCTCTGCTAGCAGATTCTGGTACTGTAGGTCACTGACTGGGCCTCAGAACACAGTTGAGGAAGTTTGCGATGGACTCCATAGGCCTCTGAATTGGGAAAAAAATCTTAGCACCTGTTATGGTGCATACTAGTATGAAGGCTTTCAAGAGGTTTTCCTCTAAGCTAAAGCCAGAGAATAGAAGCTATTATCTCTTTGTATCCATTTCCTCAGTGTCTTAAAGTCTGATACAAAGTTAGCACTCGATACATAAATGAAGAACTAATTCCAAATGCCAATAACATGGTTATAATTAATTAACAGTGAATTCAGAGGGAAATACTATGAATTTAAAGATTGAATTCTTGGAAAACAGCATAATATGTTTGAGAATATGGGAGGCATTTCTGAAGGATGTAATGTGTCTATGATTTAAATTTTTGTATGTCTTTGTAACACATTCTTTTCTTTTATAAAGTCAAATAAATAAAATCTTTAAAAAAAACAACAAATGTTATAATTCATTTTTGCCTGGTTGCACAAGAAACGTGTTTTTGCATCAGCTGCATGGAGGGTATTCAAATGCCTATAATAATGGATCATGGTAGGTAGGTAAATGATGTGATTAATATTACCAAGTTAGTCCTAAAAGTCATAGACCGCTTAGCTGAATTTATCCAGATTGTATGAGATATGAGAGAAGAAGAAAAAGTGTTCTTAGATGGTGTTTTCCAGAATTTAAAATGTCACAATTCTCTAGAAGGTTAGAATTATGCATCAGTTAGGATACTTTCTTTTTTTTTTTTAAGATTTTATTTATTTATTTGACAGAGAGAGACACAGCGAGAGCAGGAACACAAGCAGGGGGAGTGGGAGAGAGAGAAGCAGGCTTCCCGCCGAGCAGGGAGCCCAATGCGGGGCTCCATCCCAGGACCCTGGGATCATGACCTGAGCCCAAAGGCAGACGCTTAACGACTGAGCCACCGAGGTGCCCCAGTTAGGATACTTTCAGCTACAAAAGCAGCAAGTCCAAATCAAAATGACTTTAACACTGTATTGTCTCACATGGCAGGTAGGAGGTAGGGCTGCGCTTGACTGAAGAATCCCACAGCTCAAGGACCTCACAGTAGATCTGGGATCTTTCTGCTCCACCTCCCACCACATGTCAAGAAATTCCTTTAGGGTCACAGGGTGGCTATAGTAGCTCTAGGCAGAACATTAACTCATTTATTCAATAGTTATTTATCTAGGGAATATTATGTGCCAAGGTTCTAGGTAATGGGAACATAATGGGACTATCTGGACACAGTGGAATGATTTGGCCATAAATTTCCAAATAGATTTTCTATTATAGTATTAGGTAAGAGACAAATTCTCTGCCTTCGTCGAGTTTACATTCTAATGGGAGCAGAGATCAACAAAAGGGATGGGAAGAAATAAATATGTAATATTTCAAGTAGTCGAAAGTGCTGTGAAGAACCATGAAGTGGCCCGTGGTAATAGAGAAGTGTGGCGGGGCTGCTTTATGTATGGTTGTCCAGAAAGTCTTTGGCTGCAAGCAAGGGCCTGAATGAAGGGGCATGGCGTGCCATGAGAACATGTTGGGGGGAGGGCTTCTGAGTAAGCTAAAGGCCTTCACGTAAGGGCTTGGTTGGTGTGTTTGAGAAACAACACAGAGACCACTGGGGCTGGAAAGGCGTGAGCAAGGAGAAGATTTATAGGCAATAGGACTTCCAAGATAGCAAATGTCAGATCATAAGGGCCTTTATGGGCCATGGTTAGAATTTTGAATTTTATCATAAGGTGGGAAGTTTTTGGAGCGTTTTGAGCTGGTAGGTGACATGATTTATGTTTGTAAAGGAGACACTCTGTTTCCATTATGGGGAACTGACTGTAAAGGGTGAGAGTGGAAATAGGTAGTGTGCTTAGCAGGCTACAGAAGTAGCCCAGGTTACAGCAGTGCAGGAAGGAGGAGGTAGTCAGATTCAGGATATATGTTGACAGCCCCATTCATCGATATCCTGAGATAGGAACAATGGAAACATTCCTCCAGTGTCCCTTTTTAAGATTGAGAAAAGGTTTTCCAGACACCTCCCAGCTTGCTTCTTTGTTCTTATTTGTGTGACATCTTAAACCTAGCCCTACACTAATTTACTGGCAGGTGGAATGAGACACAACATGTGGACAGACAAAAACCACTCTGAGCTACAGAAGGGCCAGACTCTCCAAGAGGACTTGGCCACTTGGAGGAGCAGAATAAATTTGAGGATCTGTGGAGCTCAGCACAAAATGAAAATGTGGGGCCCCTTGTTTGAAAATTATTAAAAATTTGAAGATGAAGACAACGGAGCATTAAGCCAAGTGCAGGGTTTTTCTATGCGTGGGTTCCTGGGGGACTGCTGATGAAACCAGCTCTTTCTGTTATCAAAGAAGTGGCTATTGAGTGCCAACCAAAGTTTTTGTCCCACACAAGTTATATTCTGGGAGAATTTACACAGTTTTGGAGGCAGCATCAAGGTTTTTAGATCACCGAGTTCTTGCTTAGTGTCCTGCCAGCTAGAAGGAGAAGATAATGCTTACTGGACTTATAGGAGGTAATTCCTGCTCATTCTTAGCCTCCTTTCACTGTTGTATTGAGGGGAATCCCCCTTTGTCCATAATCTCATAGGCGAATTTCAGACACGAATTCATCTACCCATTTCCTGACTGACTTCTCATCCTTCTAAATCCTGACCATTTGACTCCCTTCATGTCTTGCTTCTTTGCTTGATCTGAAAGGGGCTGCCGCTTCTCCTTCCCTCTCTTCTGGGATTTGTAGTCACGCTTTGACCGTGCCTTTTGGGGTTTTACAGGATATTTACTTCTAAGGGAATACCTGGCCCCTGACATTGTGACCAGTGTTCCTGTAGGGTTTCCCTTACTGTACCCACGCATTCTCTTTCCAGGAAATTTTGGTTTGGGTTCCTGTTGGTGACCCCATTAGTAAGATGCCATTGAAGTACACACTACCTAACTCCTCAGAGGAATTCTTGACAGTTGTCTCTGAATCTATTAGTTACCTACATAGCTTTACCACTTTCCCAGATTTTATATATTGTCATCACATTTCACCACTGGTGGGGACAAGAAGAGGATGGGAAAAACATCTCAAGAGTCATATTGCTACTTTAGAATAAGCAATTGTTTTTTTGGGGAAAAGAGTATATAAGTACCTGCCAATAATGAGGAACAAAAGAAAGTGCGCTTTAAGTAGGCAAAATTTGTTTTGTGTTTTTTTTTTTTTTTGTAAAAGAACTTCTTACTTTTTAGGGCATGATGTTTTTGTATCTCTTCAAGCAGAAAAACAATCAACTGCCCTGATGATTTAGATACTCAGCAGTCAGAATAATTTGGATGTCACACTCTGAAATCAACATTCTTCAATCTTCCTTCTACTTTGGATTAGAGTTCCAACTGAAGGCTGCAGGTTTCTAGGATACTATTCTTTTAGAATGAGCCCAAGCCCAGCAGTTTCTAAGTCAGGGAGACCTAATTCTATGAGGTTTATGATTGCTAGTAGAATTCAGTGTTCTATGTGTAATTGTGATGATGATCATAAATGATCTAAATATGTTAAATATGTTACAAGATAAATTGTTTTCTTCTACTGAATTATTATTATTGGCTAATCATACCAAAGTATTTATATAATCATGTCTGTATTATTTTTAAATTTTTGACTGAAGATTTTTTTTTTTTTTTTGGATTATGCCAACCCAACCACTTCTGCTTGGATAAGTTCTTTCCTTGGTGCTGAGTGTAACCCTCTATGCCCAGCTGTCACTTATGACAAATTAGGGCGTCCAGTCCTACAAATGCAGATCCTGCAGGTCACATGTCCCTGAGATGGAGAATGTGATTTCTCCCAGGGGCTGGATATGCAGACCATTATATCGTCTCACACTCGAGAGAATCTCCCCTTTCCAGACTTACTGAACATCCTTTGATTGTACAGCATCTTTATTCCTGACCTTTAAGCAGGGTCACTTTTGTAACAGCCTAGAGAAAGCTTTCAGGACTGAATGAGTGCTCAGAGAAATCAAGTAGCATGCTCTGTCCAGCACGGTGATCATTTCTGACAATGCTGATAGAGGGACTTCTTCTGCAGTCCATTGATTTCAGTGTCAGGCAGATGAAAAGTAGCATATTGATGAGCCTTTGTCATTACTTTGCCAAAGGTGTCTTGTCAGATAAAAGACCAATAGAGGAAACCAACTTAAGACAGGCCATCACAGCAATTTTCTTGGTGCTGAAGGAAAGAGAATGAACTGTGATATTTAAACTAATCGATGCCTATAGAGATACTGTTAAACTCTTACAATAAATTGTTTTGATTTGGAAAAAAAAAAAGAAGAAGAAGAAGAGTGATCTACAACAAGGGTAAAGGAAAATGTGCCATAGAAGTTGAAGAAAAAAGACTTCTATTTACAGCAATAGTGAAGTTACAACTGGGACTCTTTTTTAAGATTTACCTCGATTAAAAGCTTATTCTGTAGAGCATGATGGTGTAAAATGCCCAGTCTTTGGAACTTCCCAGTCTTTGGAACTCACAGCTGAGAGTAAAGGCCACTATCTATTCTGCATTCTAAATTCAGAGAGAACATCAGGCTGGGGTTCCAGTTACTTTCCCAAAGGGCTTGCTAAAAAGTGCCATTTTTGCAGATTCAGAGATAAACACCTCTTCCCAACCACTACTTTTCCCGCTGTCTACTTATCTTCTCTTAGTATAAAGAAGACTGGAAAGTGTCCAGGAGATAACTGTTAGAGGCCTTGACCTCCTTTTACCTCACCTAAAGGAAACAGAAGCAAGCATTTATTGGTCTCTCCTCTGGAGCTAAAGGGAATGGGTGATAAAAGCCTTCCTCATAAGGTGTGTGGGTATCAGAAGAAATGCACACTGGTTTCCCACTTGATGTCTCCTAAGCAGTAGTACTTGCAAACTTGCTTTGGTGTTCTGAGGGCAGGGGCATTAAGGAAAGATAGTGGGATAATAAAGCCAAATGGAGGAGGCATGAATTGACTCTCTTGAGTATTTTATGGTTTTCAAGAATGGGCTGGGAAGAGTTGTAGAATATAGATGAGATGGGGAGGGGTGACTGTTAGCTTTCTGGGGACTCCTACAGTCTGGGAAGTAATATGGTGGCCAGGTGAGGGCCAACTTTTGAAGACGCTTTCAGATTTTTAAAGGAAATACCCTGGAGTTGAATCCAGTGCCAACAGGGTCTTGGGACCTCTTCCTGCTCACTTCTACTTCATAGACCACAGTAAGACTAGGGGGGCTGACCACAGAGAAAAAGCAACAGGAATTTGTGCACTGTTGAAGTTGGTTGTTGATGTAAGGGAAGAGTATTTGGGCCAACAAAGAAGAGGACAGCCTGTGTGCCACGCTAAGACATGTCAGGAGATGGATCTTCTCCTTACCTCCTCCCATACTAACACCAGAGGAAAAGTGCAAGGGGAAAGGAGCAGAGCAAAGTTCTAGAACCAAAGGTGTGATGGCCTTCATGGGTCCGAGTAGGGAAAATCCTTGACTTTAATAGGTTGGTTTGAACCGAATAACTAAAAATGACAGAACAGCCATGAAATTGGATTTAGAAATTATTCATAGGAAGGGAGTTGGCAGTAAAACTGAAAGAAATGATCGGAAAATAAAAATTTTCCCAATTATAACTCAATGACTTAAGGTATCTCAAATAGACCATTATATCATTTTCTCTAGTGAACTCTTTAAGCTGAGTAATTACAGGTTTATTTTTAACAGGATAGGAAGTTTCACAGTTCATCCTCCACAAAGAAGGCATCCTAAAATCATGACAGCAGCAGTGTAAATTCACTCCTCAATGTGGGGATGGCCGAGGTGCCCTAGCTCAAGGTCAGCCTGCCTCTGCTGACCTGACCTCTGACTGCAGACACAAGAGAGAGGTCAAATTGGTCAAATTGGCCCACACTGCCAACTGCAGAACTTTGAATGAAATAGTTTATTTTTGTGTACTCCAATAAGTTTTAGCTTGGTTTGTTATGCAGCAAAAGATCTGATACACCATTATTGCATGATGTTTGAAAATCATAAAGAATCTTTAAAATAAAGTCATCCCATGGTCCCATCATCCTAACATAGCTCAGCATTTTAGAATTTGTCTATTACTTACTGTTGGCCTAAACTTCCATTTGGATATGTGATTCTTACAGTTTCTGAGATGACATAGATAGTCTGATCCAACTACTTTCTCTTTCCAGCACGCGTGTGCAGGCATGCAGAATTCCCTTTTAAGACACTGACATTATTAAGTGATTGCTTGTGTTGGGTCACCTTCCACACCATTGCTTCAGCTTCATGAGGATTCAATCGAATTTTCTCAGCTTCGCCGTGTCCTTGGTCTGATCAGAGACCCAGTTTGCTCAGAGTGAGTGGTGAGGTGGTAGCAGTAGCATTAGCAGAAGCGAAGAGAGCACCTAGGCTAAACTTTGTGGCTCCTGACGTTAACATTCATCCTGTAAGATGTTGTCTTCTGTGAGTCATTTGGTCTAATCTCATTTTTGGGGGAAAAATACATTTTTTTTCCTGTATTAGCCTTTGACATTTAAATTATTTATAAAACATTTTATTTTATTGTTTAAAAAAATTTTTTTAAAGATTTTTTTTATTCATTTGTCAGAAAGAGAGAGAGAGAGAGAAAGCATAACGGGGGAGCGACAGGTGGAGGGAGAAGTAGGCTCCCTGCTGAGCAAGGAACCCCAGGCGGAGCTCTATCCCAGGACCCTGGGATCATGACCTGAGCCAAAGGCAGACACTTAACTGACTGAGCCACCCAGGCGTCCACACAATGGAATATTATGCAGCCATCAAAAGGAATGAGATCTTGCCATTTGCAACGACGTGGATGGAACTGGAGGGGGTTATGCTGAGTGAAATAAGTCAGTCAGAGAAAGACATGTATCATATGACCTCACTGATATGAGGAATTCTTAATCTCAGGAAACAAACTGAGGGTTGCTGGAGTGGTGGGGGGTGGGAGGGATTGGGTGGCTGGGTGATAGACATCGGGCAGGGTATGTGCTATGGTGAGCACTGTGAATTGTACAAGACTGAGGAATCACGGATCTGTACTTCTGAAACAAATAATGCAATATATGTTAAGAAAAAAAAGAAGAAGAAGAGAGCAGGAGGGGAAGAATGAAGGGGAGTAAGTCGGAGGGGGAGACAAACCATTAGAGACGATGGACTCTGAAAAACAAACTGAGGGTTCTAGAGGGGAGGGGGGTCGGGGGATGGGTTAGCCTGGTGATGGGTATTAAAGAGGGCACATTCTGTGTGGAGCACTGGGTGTTATGCACAAACAATGAATCATGGAACACTGCATCAAAAACTAATGATGTAATGTATGGTGGTTAACAATAAAAAAATTATTAAAAAAAAATATTTTGAAAGATAGTTGATTTCTCTTTTCCCCTAATGATATGCTTTTACTTTTTAAAAATTCTTTTCTCCAAATGGTCAGAAATTTAATGGCAGTTAATCAAATCAGACCAAGGTAAGTGTTCTGTTTGGCATGATCTAGGAAATAACTATACACCCAGGAATCTGGAGATTTAAATTTTGTTCTTGGCTCTGTCACTGGTTAGTAGTATGGTAGAACAAATTGCTTTGCCCCATTGTACCTCTGTTTTTCCCATCTTTTTTTTTTTTTAAGATTTTATTTATTTATTTGAGAGGGAGAGAAATCAAGAGACAAAGCATGAGCAGAGGGGGAGGGGCACAGGTAGAGGGAGAAGCAGGCTCCCTGCTGATCAGGGAGCCCAATGCAGGACTCAATCCTAGGACTCTAGGATCATGACCTGAGCTGAAGGTAGATGCTTAACTGACTGAGTCACCCAGGCGCCCCCAGTTTTTGCCATCTTTAAAGTGAGAAAAATGTGCCTTAACAGGCTCAGAGTGAAAAACAGATAACGTGGAATCATCTGCTTCCATTGAAGAAAGGATGTAGGTGCCTGAATTTGGGAAGTAGGCAGTACCCGAGGTGTCTTGTGGCATCCAGGAGGAACAGAGTGTGGACTCAACACAGAAAATCCAGCTGTTGTCACAGGGCATCTCCTTGCTTGCTTTCTCCTCTCTTCCCATTCAAAACAATAACGTTCTGGTCGCCTATAGAAATAGCACCATAGTTAGGCCAACAAGGAACCCTGAATGAAAAGGTGCCAGTTTAGCAAGCAAACAGAAGAATTTAATGGCTGAGGGAGTCAAATTAATAAAACAAACAGAAGTACACTCTATAAATATTATTAATATCCTTATCAGGACAAGATAATATTCTCATTAGGGCATTGACAAAACAAAACAAAACAAAATCTGTTAAGTATTTAACAATAGAGGAAATAAAATATGATTGTAAAAATTAATAAATCCTGAAGTATGAATATTTATATTGACAGTCCCACTCAGACTCAAACAGAATGAATAAAAAGAACACAACCTAGGCATATCAAAGTTCAGAATGAAAATTACTTTGAACTCCAAATTCTAAACACAGCCAAACTATCATTAATAGATATGCAAGGATTCCTTGAAAGAGAGGGATGTATTTCAACAAAATGAAAAATGAGGGCGCCTGGGTGGCTCAGTTGGTTAAGCGACTGCCTTCGGCTCAGGTCATGATCCTGGAGTCCCGGGATCGAGTCCCGCTGAGCAGGGAGTCTGCTTCTCCCTCTGACCCTCTTCCCTCTCGTGCTCTCTCTCTCTCATTCTCTCTCTCTCAAATAAATAAATAAAATCTTAAAAAAAATGAATCAAAAAGAATAATAGATATAATACAGTAAACAGTGATAGGCAAAGAAATAAAATGTGTAGTTGTCTAAGAGTTGTAAAAATAATATAGAATAAAAAATCTCTACCTGGGTATTGCTGTGGCTAGGGTGGGTTGTGCAGAGGAGGATGTGGGAATAGAGAACTCTAAATGTACCACGATTCTAAGTATTTATAGAAAAACACTTAAAATATGTTAAAACTTCAGTGTAACAAGGAGACAATTTTAAATAAAACACACAACTTTCAAACCACGAGAAAAACAGTAAAAAAAATCCTTCCAATTAACAAATATAAGAAATGAAAAAAATCAAAGGACAAAAAATCAAAAACATAAAGTGAGAAACAGGAAGAAATCCAAGGATATTATTTATTCAGTAAATGTCATAATTGCATAAAAAGCCAAATTCTCTCAGATTGTACTTCAAAAAAATATCCACCCATATGCTATGTGAGATGGTTACTGGAAGATAATTAATTAAAAAATAAGAAGGATATATACCATGCAAATATTTCAAAATGGAAATATAGTATAGTTATTATTAAGCAAGTAAAATTTAAGGTAAAAAAAACCCCAATAAGATAATAATAATAAATTCATAATAAAAAGTATACAATCCCTTCAGACAATAGAAAGCTTACAGACTTATTCATTTTTAACAAAACTGTTGAAAATATAGAAAGCAAAATTTTATGGAAAAATAACAAATTCATAATCATAATGGAAGGCTAATATAACTCTCTCAGAATTGAACAGATCAAATAGACCTAAAATGTCAAGGTACAGAAGATTTGAATAACATAATAAACAAGTTTGGCCTAATAGATACATGTAGAATTTTGTATGTCAAAGCTTAATACATAATCTTGTCACATGCACAAAGAAGGGTTATAAAAGTTGAACAAATACTAAGCTACAAAAATATTTCAAATAAATTCTTAAATGTCCATTGTCTCTCCCACCCATTTCAATACCTACATTCTTTTTTTTAAAGATTTTATTTATTTTTGCGAGAGAGAGAGCGCATGAGCAGGGAGGAGAGGCAGAGGGAGAAGCAGGCTCCCCGCTGAGAAGGGAGCCCGATGCAGGGCTCTATCCTAGAACCCTGGGATCATGACCTGAGCCAAAGGCAGACACTTAACCGACTGAGCCACCCAGGTGCCCTCAATACCTACATTTTTGATGAAAAAAAGAAAAAAAGAGCAAAATCTTTTTCAAATAACTTCGGTTCAATTATACTAAATTTCAATTTAGCTTCAAATTTCATTAAAAATAAGTGATAAGGAAGCCACATATCAAAAATGAGAACAAGGCAAAGTAGTACTTTTGGGTAAATTTATAGCCATAAATGCATTTATTAGACAGCAAAAAAATTATTATTCAACTCAAGAAACTAGGAAATTAACTCCCCTCCAAAAATGTAATTAGTAAAGATAATATAGGAAGGTAATGAACTAAAAAGGAGCTCATCCCCAAAGCAAAAATTTTGCTCTTTTTGAAGGCACACACACACACACACACACACGCACCACAAGACTAACCTTTAGTGACTTCAATTTTAGGAAAGATAAATGGGCACTAAGTACGAATATACATGTGCTTAGAAATGTCTATACAAATATATGAGACTTATGGCTAAGGACAGTAGCCTAATAACATATGCCCATCAATTCTCCCTCCCTGATTCCCCAATAAAGTGGTAGAA